CTTTCCTCTTCAACTTCGCTATTGACGAAGTCATGGAGATTGCATTTACAGGACATGACTTGGGAGGTGTGGAGCTACTCCCAGGAGAACGAATTCTTGACTTAGAGTATGCAGACGACATTGCCCTCATCTGTGACAGCCCCAGACGTGCCAAGCCGCGCTGGACAAATTAGCACCGGCTGTCAGCTGCTTCGGGCTTTGCTTTGCACCATCGAAATGCAAAGCTTTCCTCCAAGATTTGCAGGGATAGCCTCCTGCGCTGACCGTTGGTGGGGATCAGCTAGAAGTCGTTCGGAAATTCAACTACCTGGAAAGTTGTATCAGCACCCTTGGGATCGAAGACGAGATCACGAACCGTATATCAAAAGCTGGAAGTGCTTTCGCTAACCTTCGCCAACTATGGCGGCGGTGCGACATTACTCTCGCCCTGAAGGGTGAAGTGTACAATGCAGCGGTACCTTCGAGCTTACTGTACGGTTGCGAAACCTGGCCCGCAAGATTGGCGGACATAAAGAGGCTAGTTGCGTTCGACCATCGGTGCCTTAGCAGTTTGGCTCACATCTGGTGGGAACACCGCGTGAGTAACGAGTGTGTTCGACGCCTTGTTTACGGCACAGGAAAAGGAACTGAACCGCTCAGCACCGTCATTTCACGCACCGGGCTCCGATGGCTAGGCCACGTGGTTCGCATGCCAGCCCACCGACTTCCACGAGGTGCGTTGTTTGCTCACCGGGAATGTGGATAGAAGAAGAGGAGGGGTGACCAAGCGATGACTTGGTCGAGAGGAATGAAGGCCTTCGAAGCGGCCCTCGGTTGGAGCATCACGGCTCCCTGGTTGGTGTCCGAAAGACGATGAACACTTTTGGTTGGATACACTTGCTGACATGGCAAGGTGCCGACCTCAGTGGCGTTCCTGCTGTGAGTTTCTTTGTCCCTCCCCCACCCCTTTTAGCCTCCCGCTCCATCTACGATCTCATTTCATAGGGTAAAACATAATAAATTTTTTTCCTTTTTGCCTAGTAGCCGGCTGGTAGCTTACCAGAACGATGCCTATTCATAGCTGGTAGCTCAGCTGACATGCAACTGTTGTAGTTATTTTCCTTTACCTTTATGTATTGCGGCACAGTAGCTGAAGTGTTTCCCACCTCTAGCTGACGTGTATTATGATGATGATGACCTTCGGAGCCAAGCAATGATAGTGAAAAGCCGGTTCAAGCGATTTGTAGCTGCAAGACATTTGACAAGGTCACACAGCCATTTTACGCCATGGATTTACCTTCTACTCGTGTTTTCGGTACTACTGCTTCTGTCGTACGCCAGTTTTCATCACATGCCAACTCCCCATTTGTTGTCAATCCCCGCTCCGTTGATTCTACTTGTTATGGGGTTTTTCGGACACACGAAAAGCTCAATGGACGACCTTACTTCGACCTCGATCTCTTTTCCGATTGGCATGCTTCAACGCACGAAAGCTTATGCAAATAGGTCAACAAGTCGGCCTGGTGCGTACTCCGGAATCTTTCGTCACTGATGTTTGCTGCGTTTCCGAAACCCGGTTGCAGAATCCCAGCAGTGTACTCAGGCTGAGGTCCACTTCTATTCGCGGAACCATATAACAACTGTGCCTATCCACTGACGCAGAAGCAGCTGCAGCAGATTTGACTGGTGTTGCGGTAACACTAAGTAAGAATGCCGGAGCTGCGTTGCTCGACTGCTTCCCAGTTAACAGTCGGCTATGCGCAGTTCGGTTTCAGGGATCATGTCGTGTCAACAGGCGTCGTAAGTAAACAGCCAGCTTGTTTTTCATTTCTGCCTACGCCCCAAATGACTGCAGCCGCGACTCAATCAAGAATGATTTTCACCACGCACTTCACCTTCTTCTGATTAAAGTGGACAAGTGGGATGTCGTTACACTTGCTGGCGATTTTAATGCGCAGGACGGTCGCCTGCTTCCACATGAACGTCACGTGCTTAACGACACTCAGGTAACAGACCGGCGTTTTACATTAGGCGAGCACAACCACATGTTTCTCTCAAACACCGATTTCAGGCATAACAACCTGTCCCATTCCGTTTTCAACACACTTCTGGTTCCAAACCGCGCAAATCGCAATCAGTTTCCGTTTGGCGAGGTGGTATACAAGTCATTCTGGTCAACTTACCTTGATTCAGATCACACGCTGTTTTGTGGGAACATCGACGTGCGCTTCGGTGGTCCCAAGAAACAAGCGCACCGTAAAATTGACACAAACAGGTCAGTTGACCTTTGTGTCCAACTGTGCTGTCAAGCTGCAATATCGGATGCGCTCATCTGCAGTCCACTCCAGGATGTTGAGCAACATTGGGATTGTTTACATGAAGCATTGCTTTCCTCTAGTCAATCGCTTTGTGGTTCATCCAACATCTTTTGAAAAGTTGGATCTCCGCTCGCTCGTTAGAACTGTTTGACCGCCATCGAGATGTGCTACCAGAGTCAGCTTATAATTCTATACGCCAGACTCTCAATCGGCAACTCAAATAAAGCTTGCGTAATGACCGTGAGACCTGGTGGTCTCAACGCGCCTCAGAGATGGAGGCCGCTACTATCTCCGGCAATTCCCGCAAGATCTTACAACTCATTCGGTTCACCGGCTCCAGAAGGTCTGGTGTCAGTGAGACTATCTGCGAACCGGATAGGTCACGAATTAATGACCTAGGAAGAAGCGTAGAGCGTTGAGCTGAACATTTACACTCCCAAAACAATTACCCTCTATTATCCGCTTGTATACCGAGTATACCCAATTACATGCCCTAGGTCATTACATTGGAGCAACCTAACGAAGTGGAGCTCCTCGTCGACATTCCACATCTCGAGGGATTTAAGTCACCCGGGTCGGAAAACCTCCTTCGAAGATGTTCAGGTTTGGCGACTCAGCACTTGACGTTACTGTTTTCCTAAATTTGCCGCGAAGTGAAGATCCCATCCTCCTGAAATGAGTCAGTAATTGTCTCTATTTTCAAGAAAGATACTCGAAAAGCACATGCCAATCACAGGTTGCTTCCAAACTGCTAGCATGCATACTGCTTCGTAGACTATTCTCGGTCTGCGAGTTACTTCACCGCGAAGAACAAGTTGGCTTTCGCGGTAGAGGATGTGTGGACCAGATCTTCACGTTACGCCAAATCCTTGAACACCGCCACTTTTACCATGTTCGCCTTCTTGGACATCCGAGCTGCATGTGACTCGGTCGATCGGCACTGTCTGCTAAGAAATGGAGTCCCCGAAAAGTACACTTCCATCATTCGGGCGCCATACTTCCAAGAGTCAGGTAGAGTGAGGGTCTATGGCTAGATTTATTAACCCTTCACTATCACCAGTGATATGCGATAGGAGTGCCCTTTGTCCCCATTCTTCTTCAGATTTGCAATTGAGGGCGTGCTGTTGAGATCTCTGGAAGGCTCCCAAAGTCTTGATGTTGAGCTCCTTCCTGGTTATTGCGTGACCAACTTAGAGTACGCTGATAATAACGCTCTGCTAGGTGAAGATTCAATGAGCATATAGGTCATTTTGAACTGTCTAGCGACTGAAGCGTCTAAGCATGGTACGCACTTTTCCCCCTTGAAGTGAAAAGTGCTACTCCCGGACTGGGTGTTATCTGCCCCCTCACTTACCATTGAAGTAACACAGCTAGAGCTTGTGCACTACATTGTCTATCTCGGAAACCGTATTTATGCTGATGGCATTATCAGGGAAGAAGGTATATCTCTGCATCGTCAAAGCCCGATCGGCACTTACCAATCTTAGTCATTTGTGGCGTCGTCGGGACATCCCTTAAAGAGGAGGGTCTACAACGTTTGTGTCCGCGCGGTCCTGATGTACGGAAGTGAGTTCTTGCCGATTCTTGTGGACGACATGCGTCGACTTTCGGTCTTTGACAATACATTTGCGGAGGATAGCCCGTGTGTGGTGGCAGCACCGGGTTCGCAACGATGAACTCCGGAGTCGCATCTTGGGAGACATAAGCCTTTTATTTAACCTCCTTGTTGCGATGCGTCAAATGAGGTGGCTTGGCCAACTCCTACGTATGTCGTGCGAACGCTTACCACGCTGCGCCTTATTTGCTCGCACGGGATTGAATTGAAAGAGAACACGTAGAAGTCAGCCAACCATTTTGAGGCAAAGCATGAAATCGCTGACCTATCTCGTCATCGTCGGCCATGTACGTCTCCCTGGTTGGGGACTCAAAGATGAGCATTGTGAATGGCTCGAAACACTTATTGATATGGCGCGAAATCGGAATAAATGGAAGAAATGTATATTTAAGTGTTTTAAACAATGTGACAGAAAGAGAAAATCCCATGTGAAAATCAAAACACAAAGCCAGAAAGCCAAGAAGTCTGATCACTTTTCTTGACATTTGCACTCACGTTTTTTGTTTGCTCCCACGGCTTTTTTCGATGGCTCAATGTCTATTTATACACTGCTGACAATATATATATATATATATATATATATATATATATATATATATATATATCTACATGTATAATTATATATATATATATATATATATATATATATATATATCACCGGTACAGGACTGTAGTTAGCTGGTCGCTATTGGAGTATATTGGTAGGATGTTAGTTTCTAGAATTATGGGCATTTAGCTCGGCCGAGATTCGCAATCGTTTAACTGCATCATCTGTACTGTCAACGGAAACATAACCAAATGTTGTATATCAAGATTGACCGGCAATCGGTTTTCAATTTGCAGACTTATGAGCCTTAATCCCACAAGATTCGAAGGAAATGCACGCTGAGTTGAACAGTACCGATGAAAGGAATCAATAATCCACTGCGTTCGCGGATGTGTGGCGGTTATATGGTTGAGCTCGACCTAACTGAGCATTCAAACAATTTAGAAAAACTTTACTGCGCATCAGTTGATGGCACAGTCTGCAGATGAACAGAATGATGGTAATAAGTGAAGGACATGAGTAATGAAGGTGGAAGACTTACATAAAACAGTCGGTAATACTACTGAAGGATCTTTCCCCTGTGGCTCGGTTGATAGTTTGAATACGAGTTTTCACCACTGAGTGGGGTAAAGAACATAAATGTGCGGAAGACAAAGTGACACATATTCGAAAACGACAACAATTACAAACAATTACGAATACCCAAAACATTGAGACGAAATGAAAAATACGACAACAATAATGGAGATAAGGAAAAACGTATCGACGCGAAGAAATCAACTAGAAAAGTGGTGTACTGGAGACGATCAGAATGCAAAAAACGCTTCATACGCTCGGGTGCATTCTCAATGGCCTGGAAAGCTTACATGAATTTGCTAAACCGATAGTGAGACATATTCACAGGAACTATTGCAGCCTTTTTTCATGAAGTCTTCGGTAAACGCAACTGAGCACGACGTTCAGTCAGACTGAAAGAGGCGTGTCCTTGTATGACAGCTTGTCTGCGGGCGTTCAAAGTGACACATAGCACTATCTAGCCCAAAATGTTTCTTTCAATGCGAATACAAATTGACGTATCTGTTAAAAAAGGGACAATGACTGGGTTGCGCTTCGGGAAATATACATGTAGTGAAAACCTGAGTGGAAGTGAGTGGGAAACTCTTATGTTCTTACATTAGCATCCATAGATACCGCATAATATAGAAAAGATGAAGTCCACGTTCAGAGTCATTAGATGTCAAAGATAGCTTGTGGTATCCGTTCATTCAGGTTGGTGACACTAACAGGGGCAATGGGATGAAAGCAAAACTCGCTGGCAAGTGACGTTAAATCGTCATACGTGAACGTAGACTAAGCCGAAACGATTTGCAAGTACCGCATCCGAAGTGTAAACATTGTAATCATTCCTCGATCCTAAAACGGCGCTCCACAAAGAGTTTTTTACGTTTTGGCTTGCAGGTCTTGCTGAAGGGTTAGCAGCCCCCATGCACCACAATGAAGTGCATAGAATTTAGAAGCGGCTAAGTTGGATCGAAACCGCTGTCGCATATCCATCGGCCGCTTAAGATGACGCTGTTAGAGGTCCGAATCCCAGAAGATTAAGAGGTGACTGCCGATGAGAGGATATCATATATACATATATATATATATATATATATATATATATATATATATATATATGTGTGTGTGTGTGTGTGTGTGTGTGGCAAAGTGGAATGTATGCAGTGGAGTGCATACTTTTGCTGAGACACCTGAGGTGGATCGGTCATGTGAGCCGTATGGATTCGACGCGGATACCGAAACAACTCTTATATGGTCAGCTGAGAATAGGGAAGCGACACGTGGGGAAACCAAAGTTACGTTACCAGAACATGATCAAAGTGAGTCCCTCACGTTCTAATGTTGATTGCAGATCATGAGAATCGAAGGCGGTTGATCGGCGTGCATGACGCGATCTAATCACGAAGGCAGTTGCCGAAGTGCGGGTGAATGCCTTCATACATGCAGAAAAGAACCGGCAAGCACCGACATCAAGCGCATGGTGCTGTAGCACATGCGGTCGCGAGTGCCTGAGTCAGACAGGCTTAGTGAGCCATGAGCAAGGCCACTCGGAACCAGTACCGAAGCGACGACGGGTCCTGCAGAGAACGTAGGCAGAACCGGCGCAGCGTTTGTAGGTACGCTGCATTCGATTTACGAACCGCATCCTTGCATGCTAAGTCTCTTTATTTCAGGTGGTGGGTTTTCAATTTTGTCCTAATGCTTTTCTTTCTCAAATTAATGTCCACCTGTACGCTCTTCTATAAACCTGCACACCTCGCTTAAGCCAATTGTAGTTATTTTCGATAACATTTTCGTGTTTGTGTCATTTCCGTAAAATATATTTTCTGAACCCCTGCACTTATCTCGGATCCTTTGTTAACAACTTATTTCATATGCTCAGTAATTTAAGATTTTTGTCACGTTTTCTTATGCATTACTCGATTTATTTTCTTTGTTATCTTTCTCTCAAGCGACCGGCTGTTGCTTGATATCTCCGATGTGGCTGCGCTTGATGTGCATGTTGACAAGGTGCCTATCTGTCTGTTATCCACTACCTCGTCCACACTGGCTCTAGGAGACAGTGGGTCGTTGCTGGAGGGGACGGGGTGCACGATTCTTGTGGCCGTGTTAGGATCAAAGAGTGGTTCCATGCACTTAGTGTGGAGCGGACTACGGTCCAGCCACCGCCTAGTGTGCGCTTGATTCTCTAAATACAGCGTGTTTGTGTTTGTCTGTGAAGGAGTGTGGGCCGGCTTCGTCGAGGAAATGTGGCTCCCATCCACATGCCTCCCGGTTTTATTCCTTCGGGTTTACACTGTGCGTTCCGTCCTCCTCACTAGCTGTTGGAGTGGAGGTGGCTTCTTGCTCCATTAATAGGAGTCTCTGTAGTCTTGTGCCAAAAATCCGCCGCCTTGAATTCTAGTTTTTAAACCAGACTTTGGCTGAGAACCCAAATCATTCTCTCGTCTAGGTCTGGACAACCTGACAGCATCCTACCCACGCAATACACTGAACTCTGTAAACAATTTCATGATGGTCTGGCCATCGCAGATAATCAACAGTGCCCTATAGGCTACATCGATGGAGTGCACAGGGGTTTGGATGCTATTGCCCAAGCCTTCTGGTTTTCTTATCTCCGTGTTACGATTATTCACCCTTATCGTCCCGTTTCAACTGCAACTTTCTTCCCGTTTTCAACCTCCAAATTCTTAGCCCTTCCCAGCTTTGCTTTGATAGGTGTTTATCCTCTAGTTTCAACTCGCATACAATCGCCGAACACCACTCCCGCCCTGCCAACAAGCCCATATCCAACCAAGCGAAAAACCAGTTTACCGGTTTCTACTCGGGGCCCTCGACCCTCTATCAGATTGGCATGCCTCAACGTGCGCACATTGGTACAAATCATTCGACAGGCAGCAAATGCCCGGATATTAGAGACTGTCGGTCGATATCTGCTGCTTATCCAGAACTCGTGTGCGATCCTCCGCAGATGACATTACCAGTGCTTTGTCACAGGGTCTTTCCGGAGATGACGCAGCTTCGCGTGCCGCCCAAGGAATTGTGTGTATCGCTATGGGTTCCAGGGCTGAAGCTGCTCTGGGTGATGTGTGTCATCCGATTGCCTGGCTCGTTCAAAGCTTCGAAATCGCGCAGGGCTAATAGGTATCTGCTTGTAATCGTTGCCTATGCGCCCACAAACTGTAGCGCTGATTGACGAAGCATCGACGCTATTACCAACCGAACGAGCTCCTTCCTACTGGCTGGGGATCTGAACGCTCAAGTTGATGAGTTGCTGCATCTAGGCGGCCAACACGATGTAAGCTCATGTAATTATAACGGTGAGTGGTTACTTCATATACGCGAAGACGTTTGTATATTTTCGCGAGCACTAACCGACAAATAGCGCCGACCAGCATTGGATGCAAATCGATCACATTGCAATCAGTTATCGCTGGCGAAGCTGCGTGGGAAACTGTCGCTCAGTTTGGAGCACGTGTGAACACTGACCATGTCCTTGCATGTGATCTGCAGGTGCGTTTTGGCTGATGCGTACGACGACGCTATGAGCGCATAGACACCCGGAAGGTGGTGAAGCCAGATGTACTAAATGCGTATCGAAGTACGCTGGCATTCGGGATGAGTAAGCGCTCATTGAATACAGTTGAAGGTCACTTGGCGCGTGCTCACCAAACCTTATTAGCAGTAGGCAAATCCTCATTTAAATGTAATAGCCAACCTAAACACTGAGTCTCTAGGTAATCTCTGGAAATTATCGATGCTCGCCGGCACAAAGACGTCAGAGCAAAACTACGTGCTGTCCTGAAGAGAGACGCGAATCCCGGTGATCACATTATGCGTCGAAATGGAAATGGCCACCTCCATCTGAAACCATCCTAAGTTATTCCCTGTGATACGGGAAACGGACCGCAGGAGACCTGTTGGTGAGACTATATGTAACTAGAGTGGCCTGCTTATGAACAATTTCTCAAAACACCTGGTGTGTTGGATTGAGTATTTGAAAGGCAATTTAATCAACCAGGAATGTCAGATTTCTCGCCGGTCAGTGATCGCCCTACTCCCTGGGCTATCTTTTGAATTCACGCTCTGGGTTAGAAGTCCAACGTGAGATCAGACTGCCGAAGTTGAATAAGGACGTGGGACGAGATAATCCCCCTTCCAACCCTCTTCAAATTCGGAGGACCTGTTGTTGTGGATGACATACACGAGTAAGCAGTGAAATGTGGGAAGAGGAAACTATCCCAACCTACTGGAGCAGCTCCGTTACTGTCCCGATGCTCCAAGTTCACGTTCGGAATGCCGCAATCATAGAAAAACCAGTTTGATCTCCGCCTCCTCCATGTTACTTGCTTCTGTTATTCACCACAGACTGATTGGCACTCGTCAAAGCCAGATTCATGAAGAGCAAGCAGGGTTTCATGGAAGTCCAGTCTGTATCGATCACAACTTTACTTTACGTCAGTTGTTGGAGCACCGTCACATATATTGGTGGCCCACCAATATCGTATTCTTCGACAACGAAGGTGCCTTCGATTCTGTGTTCTTTGGAGCCGTCTGTTGAAGAAACGTGTGCCCGAGAAATATGTAAATATTATCCTAGCGCTTTATGCACGTAGTTCGAGCAGTCGCCGCCTTTCAATATCTCCAGCGGTGTAAGAAAGAGATGCCCGCTGTCACCATTCCACTTCAGTTTTGCTATTGACGAAATCATGGAACTCGCGTTCACTAGACACGACCTACGTGTGGAGCTACTCCCAGATGAACGACGCATTGACTTGGAGTATGCTGATGATGTTGTCCTCATCTGTGACAGCTTCCAAACGTGCCGAGCGGCACTGCAGGTTAGCACTGGTTATCAATCGCTTCGGACGTTGCTTTGCAAAGCCTTCTTCCAAAACTAGCAGGGACCGCTTGCTGCATTGACCCTTGGTTTGGATCAGCTAGAATTCGTTCAGAAATGCAATTCACTAAGCAAATGTATCAGGGTCTGTGGAATCGAAGAGGCGCTTTTGCTAACCTTCGTCACTTATGGTGTCGGTTGGACAGCACTCTATGA